GCTTCTCTTAAAAAAGGTACATGTAAATTGATGTTTGCAGGTCCATGGTTGTGTTGATTTCGAATTTTTATCCTATTATCAAGAAGTTCTGAACTTACTGATGCCGTACAAGGACAAAAATCATAAATCCGACTTTTTTGCCGTTCACACACTAAGTATATACGGTTGACTCTTGCTTCGCGCTTGTAGTACTTAAAACCTAAATCATCCACATAAACCCTTGAACCATGGTGAACCCCAGGAATCACTCTGTAGGTTACTGGTACTAGTGGTACTTGATTCAAAGCATTTTCTTCCGGATCTTCTTCAAGTACTTCTTCATCTTCCAGTACTTCTTCATCTTCATCAGTTACTTCTTCATTTGGATTGTTCTCGTAAACAACTGGACGAAAATAATCGTGGTCCAACAAATGAACGGGGAGACCGATTTCTTCCTCGATGTTCATCATGTTTCTGCACTTGTACAGGTTGTCACTTATAGAGTCAATGATCAAAAGACAAGTAGCACGAAACAGCGAATCACACGAACAAATAGTCTGCGGTATGACCTATGGTCAAAGTTTTAAAGGATGAAGTGCGACAGCACGATCAATAAACGGCGTACGTTTTAGACGAACAAACAACTTCAACGGCAAACAAGATCGAATTATTCGAAAAGCACGTGAGTACCGTGGTGTTCGAAAGCGGTTAAGCGAGTCGTCACTCGTCAGTCGCCACTTGCCGTTGCTCGTACTTCATGACTCGTGATGTCTTGGTGGGGTGGGAAACTGAGAAAACCGTCACAAAACACAGCAATAGAATGCAAAAAAGCGGGAATTTATACATTCAAAATTGATTTTGTATTTTAAGGTGGAGCTATGAATTCGGGATTGAAAACATTAAACTTCTTTGAGGTTGACCGGGTTCTTTAGAGATCATTTTCCGAAATGTTCATTAGTTTTTTCCAAATGTTGGCATAAATTGCCAAAAAAAAACAGTTATTTTGAACTTGAACGAAATTGATTTTAGTTATTTACCTACTATTCAGTTGCAACTCCAAAAATAAATATGTAAATATGTTTCCTTAAGACTTAACTTATATTTTTAACAATTACTATTTCATCATTGGTTTCAAATTTAAAACAATCTTAAGCTCTATACTTAGAAGAAGCACATCAATGGG